ACTCTTTATTTCATGATAAATAAAATGGAGATGCGTAATGTAGCCATATGTTAAAGTGATTGTCTGGAGTTTGTCAGAAAGAGAGACAGAGAGGTGCTTGATTTGCAAAAAACGACGCAAGCTCCTCCCCCTTCCTTTCTGATTGGTCTACACCTACGTTTCCGTAACACTTTGAAATGTTAATCAGAGAACACATTATACATATACATTATTAATACACATGCACGGAGGTTTTCAGAATTATTTGTGAACGTTTTAATGAAAAAAAATATGTTTTTATGCACACAAAAAAGCGATCGCGGCAAACCAGGAAGTGCTATTATTATGAATTGCACATTATAGGACACATCTGCAGAGGATCTGATTATGGATATAGGTTCAGTATATAAATAAGTACCTCAGCGTGGATGTTCAGAATTCTTTGTTCAGTTTTCATGTAGTTCCAGAGCCTAATAGAGGCTCCGCGAAAACAAACAACTGCGCATGCGCGCAGCTGCGAGCATCAGCGCCGATGATTGACAGCCCTTGGCATGACTCGATTGGTTAACCTCGACGGCACCGTGGATTCTGAACTATAGCTAAGAGCAGGGAGTTTTTGGTTCAAATGAACACCCAGACACTTGTAGGAGTCCACTGTTTCAATGTCCATGATGTTCACTGGGGCTGGAGGCAGAGTGACGTCTGCAGAAATCCACCACCATCTCCTTCTGTCGATGAGGAGGTGGTCCATCTCCTGCTGTCCTCTGTTGATGAGGAGGTGGTCCATCTCCTGCTGTCCTCTGTTGATGAGGAGGTGGTCCATCTCCTGCTGTCCTCTGTCGATGAGGAGGTGGTCCATCTCCTGCTGTCCTCTGTTGATGAGGAGGTGGTCCATCTCCTTCTGTCCTCTGTTGATGAGGAGGTGGTCCATCTCCTGCTGTCCTCTGTTGATGAGGAGGTGGTCCATCTCCTTCTGTCCTCTGTTGATGAGGAGGTGGTCCATCTCCTTATGTCCTCTGTCGATGAGGAGGTGGTCCATCTCCTTCTGTCCTCTGTTGATGAGGAGGTGGTCCATCTCCTTCTGTTGATGAGGAGGTGGTCCATCTCCTGCTGTCCTCTGTTGATGAGGAGGTGGTCCATCTCCTTCTGTCCTCTGTCGACGAGGAGGTGGTCCATCTCCTTCTGTCCTCTGTCGACGAGGAGGTGGTCCATCTCCTTCTGTCCTCTGTCGATGAGGAGGTGGTCCATCTCCTTCTGTCCTCTGTCGATGAGGAGGTGATTCCATCTCCTTCTGTCCTCTGTTGATGAGGAGGTGGTTCCATCTCCTTCTGTCCTCTGTTGATGAGGAGGTGGTTCCGCTGACTTCAGTCCACAAAGTCCTGCATTAGTCGTCTGTACTCTTTGTCTTCGCCCTCAGTGATGAGTCCGATCAGAGCAGAGTCATCAGAGAACTTCAATAGTCCACAACCGTCCACAGTGTAGAGGGTGAAGTAGAACGGAGCGAGGACCGTCCCCCGAGGAGCCCCCGCTCTGCAGGTCGGGACCTCAGCTCCCTGGATCTCACTCCTGGAGATCGGGAAGCAGACACTTGCCTCTAAAGTCTATTAGACATCTGGTTTAATATATCCCCATTCTTATTCCCTGGATGTTTCCAAGTTCATTGAGGTTTTTCTGGTCACTCCAATTTTCCACTGGCAGCTCGCGAAGGCAATCCCAGGGTGGTTCCTCCTGGAGGCCTGTCAGGACTCTGGGGCCAGTCTCTTAAGGGCTCATTGGTGCAACGCTGGGTGCATTTTCTGCTCCACATTGCATCAATCACACAGAGCTCCTCCTGTGGTCATGACCATACAATTATGTTACACACGCCAACACAAAAGACTGCTCACGTTGTGGAGAGGCATTTCGGACGACTTTCCCCAGTGTTCAAATAAGGCTTGGTGTTAAATAATATTTAGGCTTTACGGCAGTTTTGACTTGAGTAGTTTAGCAGCATAAAGTCCAACAGTTATGGCCCAAGAAGTATGACTTTTTGGGTTGAAGCATCCACTAATAATGTATGTGCCCAAGAACCCAAAGAAGCAAATATGTACATTGCCAAATTTGGTCATTGAACGCTGCTCAAATATTTTCATATCCTGGTTCTACTGAGCTAAATCCTGGTAAAATCCAAGCGACAGTGTATTCGATGTTTAAGGAAAGCCGAGCAGATTCCAGTGTTCTTTGGGTCAGAGCCACAGTTCAGGAATCACTGCTTCTCTATTATCATGGTCATAACGAGGCCAGTGGTGCCGGGACCCACCCTGTGGTGGGGGGGGGGGAGGGGGGGGGTGGCGTTGGGGCACATGTGACCACAGCGTTGGTGGGGCCGCCCGGAGAAACAAGCGGTTGTGATTCAGAAGTCAAAATCTCGTGCAACACAGCAGGCGTCGCGCTGCCATTATCGGAAATGAAGAGAGAGAAAGGTCCGGGCTGAGAACACGCACAAAAAAAAGTTCAAAAACAGCTCTTGAGATTGGAGCGAGGTGCGAGAGGAGCTTCTGCAGGAGTCGCGGAAATGAGACCGACGCAGCTGCAGAGAGAGAGCGAGCGGCTTCGGGCCTGACGTAAGCTAATGCTCCGTCCGCAGTGGGGAAGATAAACAGGTTTTATTATCTTGCTCCATGCAGAGTGTGGCCGTGCACCAGGCCGGACTCCAGCTCACACCAGCAGCTCCACTCTATCTGACCACACTGCCCATAAAGCCTGCAGAATAAGCAGCAATTTTGACTTCAGTTACTTTTAAAACGGTTTTGGGTTTATTTGGTCAAGATTTATACAAACTACTCCATTTTTTTATTCTGCTGCGAGACAAGAGAGGAGCACGGAAAACATGCACGAGTTTTGGTTTAACATTTTTATGGGATCAATCAATCAATCAATCAACGTTTATTTATAGAGCGCCTTTCCTACACAAGGCAACGCAAAGCGCCTCACAACCCATATAACATCATGCATAAATCATCAAACATTAGAATTTAAGTAAACATAAAAAGACAGATTAAGAGCACAAGATATATAAAATCACACAAGTAGTTAAAAACCGTAAAAAATTAAAATCACACAAGGGATTACAATCATAAATAATCATAAATAATCATAGCGCATTAAAAAGATTAAAGATAAAAACAAATGTAAAATCATTCACTTGTATGCACAGCTAAAAAGAACTGTTTTCAGTTCAGTTTTAAAAACTGCTAGAGTAGACGCCTGTCTCACACTCTCGGGAAGACGGTTCCAGACTCTAGCCGCATGAATCTGAAACGCAGCCTCCCCATGTCTAGTTCCGACTCTTGGCACTAACAGAAGTCCAGTCCCTGCGCTCCTCAGAGCCCGAGCTGGTTCATATGGCACCAACATGTCGCGGATGTACCCTGGTGCGAGGCCATGGAGAGACTTGTACACAAGTAAAGCTACTTTAAAATCTATTCTCTGAGCCACAGGAAGCCAGTGCAGAGACCTGAGGACCGGACTAATGTGGTCGTACTTCCTGGTTCTAGTCAGGACTCGAGCTGCAGCATTTTGGATGTACTGCAGCTGTTTTACAGCTTGTTTAGAGAGACCTGTGAACAAGCCATTGCAGTAGTCCAATCGACTGGAGACAAATGCGTGGATAAGAATCTCCAAGTCTGCTTTAGACACAATGTTTTTAATTTTAGCAATGTTTCTTAGGTGGAAGTAAGCTGATGATGTCACAGATGATATGTGGCTATTGAAATTCAAGTCTGAGTCCATTATTACTCCTAGATTTCTGACCTGAGTTGAGGGTTTCAGGGAGAGAGACTGGAGGTGGCAGATAACGCTCTCTCTTTGTTTCTGAGGTCCGAAAACAATAATTTCAGTTTTTTCTGTGTTTAGCTGGAGAAAGTTATTTTGCATCCAATCACTGATCTGTTGGATACAGTGAAGGAGCGAGTCCACTGGTCCATGTTCTCCTGCTGTCAGGGACACATAGACCTGAGTATCGTCAGCGTAATTGTGATAGGACACGTTATTACTGTGTATTAACCTACCCAGAGGCAGCATGTAAATATTAAACAGGAGAGGCCCCAGGATTGAGCCCTGTGGCACTCCGCAGGTCAGGGCCAGATGGTCTGAGACACAGTTTCCGATCTCCAAAGACAGACTTCCTCTGGTTCAATCTGAACATGAAGCATTTCTTTTCATTTTGTTTTAGTTTTACTTCCAGTCCTGCCCCCTGTATCGGTTGTCTGTGTGTCTGTCTGTGTCTCTCTCTGTCTCTCTCTGTGTCTCTCTCTCTATGTCTCTCTGTGTCTCTCTCTCTGTGTCTCTCTCTGTCTCTCTCTCTGTGTCTCTCTCTCTATGTCTCTCTGTGTCTCTCTCTCTGTGTCTCTCTCTGTCTCTCTCTCTGTGTCTCTCTCTGTCTCTCTCTCTGTGTCTCCCTCTGTGTCTCTCTCCGTGTCTCTATGTCTCTCTGTGTCTCTCTCTCTGTGTCTCTCACTCTGTGTGTCTCTCTGTCTCTCTCTCTGTCTCTCTCTGTTTCTCTGTGTCTCTCTCTGTGTCTCTCTCTGTCTCTCTCTGTGTCTCTCTCTTTGTGTCTCTCTCTCTGTCTCTCTCTCTGTCTCTCTCTCTGTGTCTCTCTCCGTGTCTCTCTCGCTGTCTCTCTCTGTGTCTCTCTCTCTCTGTCTCTCTCTCTATCTCTCTCTCTGTGTCGCTCTCTCTGTCTCTCTCTCTGTCTCTCTGTGTCTCTCTCTCTGTCTCTCTGTGTGTCTCTCTCTGTGTCTCTCTCTGTGTCTCTCTCTGTGTCTCTCTCTGTGTCTCTCTCTCTGTGTCTCTCTCTGTGTCTCTCTCTGTGTCTTTCTCTCTGTGTCTCTCTCTGTGTCTCTCGCTCTGTCTCTCTCTCTCTGTCTCTCTCTCTGTCTCTCTCTCTGTGTCGCTCTCTCTACCTTTTAAATATCATCCTAAAATCCTTATATTCTGACGTTCCTGTGTTTTGGTCCTTCCCTGTTTTCTCCGCGTGCCTGATGTCTGCCGCTGTGGTCCTAGTGTCCCTCCTCCAGTGCATAGACAACAGTAAAACATACTTCTGTGGTGAGTCTTAAAAACGTAAGGAAATATTTCAGCCTGAGAACATATTAATGCCAAATGGCCTTAAATACGCCGTCTTCTGTCAGCTATAAATCCAAACTTTACTGGCCTCATATGTTCAGTAAAAACGCATTTTTTCCTCACGATGAACAAATGTCACGTGATGCATATACAACATACAACATTAGACTTACACAACATTCCTTTCCAGGCTGAAGGCCCCTGAAACACTTTGTGGTCAGCCTGGTTGTGCCGGCCCCTCCAGCACTCGCCCGCAGAGCTTTAGTGAGAGAGAGAGAGAGAGAGAGAGAGAGAGAGAGAGAGAGAGAGAGAGAGAGAGAGAGAGAGAGAGAGAGAGAGAGGCAGGCCCCTAAGACCCAGCTCAGTGTATTCATTAGGAGAGGAAAGACTCACACAGGTATTGACCAACACTGTTCAATAATAAACTGTGGATGTCATGACAAACTATTTCACGGTTATGGAAAGTCTGAGCGTGTGAGTGGGTCCTGGTCCTCCAGAAGGACTGAGCTCCTCTCTCTCTCTCTCTCTCTCTCTCTCTCTCTCTCTCTCTCTCTCTCTCTCTCTCTCTCTCTCTCCGGGCGACTGACAAGGTGCTCCTGTGAGTTCAGCACTTTGGACAGCACCTGCCGGCCTCAGCTCTCTCTCCTCATTCCTCACCCTTTTACTCCTCACTCTCTCACTCCTCTTTATCTTTCTCCTCACTCGCTCACGTTTTCACTCTCAATCTCTCACTCCTCTCTCTCTCTTCTCACTCACTCACTCTTTCTCTCTCACTCTTTCACTCCTCTCTCTCTCCTCACTCACTCCCTCCCTCCTCACTCTCTCCCTCCTCACTCTCTCCCTCCTCACTCTCTCCCTCCTCACTCCCTCCCTCCTCACTCTCTCAGCGGCAGCAGGTGGACAAGCTGCTTCCTCTGTGTGATGTTTGCTGAGTCTGATTGTTTCTGACCATTTTCTCTGGCTCTGGTCTGTAGATCCAGGACTGAGGCTGTAGATCCAGGACTGAGGCTGTAGATCCAGGACTGAGGTTGTAGATCCAGGTCTGAGGCTGTAGATCCAGGACTGAGGCTGTAGATCCAGGACTGAGGCTGTAGACCCAGGACTGAGGCTGTAGACCCAGGACTGAGGCTGTAGATCCAGGACTGAGGCTGTAGATCCAGGACTGAGGCTGTAGACCCAGGACTGAGGCTGTAGACCCAGGACTGAGGCTGTAGATCCACGACTGAGGCTGTAGATCCAGGACTGAGGTTGTAGATCCAGGTCTGAGGCTGTAGATCCAGGACTGAGGCTGTAGATCCAGGACTGAGGCTGTAGACCCAGGACTGAGGCTGTAGACCCAGGACTGAGGCTGTAGACCCAGGACTGAGGCTGTAGATCCAGGACTGAGGCTGTAGATCCAGGACTGAGGTTGTAGATCCAGGTCTGAGGCTGTAGATCCAGGACTGAGGCTGTAGATCCAGGACTGAGGCTGTAGATCCAGGACTGAGGCTGTAGACCCAGGACTGAGGCTGTAGACCCAGGACTGAGGCTGTAGATCCAGGACTGAGGCTGTAGATCCAGGACTGAGGCTGTAGACCCAGGACTGAGGCTGTAGATCCAGGACTGAGGTTGTAGATCCAGGTCTGAGGCTGTAGATCCAGGACTGAGGCTGTAGATCCAGGACTGAGGCTGTAGATCCAGGACTGAGGCTGTAGACCCAGGACTGAGGCTGTAGACCCAGGACTGAGGCTGTAGATCCAGGACTGAGGCTGTAGATCCAGGACTGAGGCTGTAGACCCAGGACTGAGGCTGTAGATCCAGGACTGAGGCTGTAGATCCAGGACTGAGGCTGTAGACCCAGGACTGAGGCTGTAGACCCAGGACTGAGGCTGTAGACCCAGGACTGAGGCTGTAGACCCAGGACTGAGGCTGTAGACCCAGGACTGAGGCTGTAGATCCAGGACTGAGGCTGTAGACCCAGGACTGAGGCTGTAGACCCAGGACTGAGGCTGTAGACCCAGGACTGAGGCTGTAGACCCAGGACTGAGGCTGTAGACCCAGATCGCCCCAAACCACAACAGTGTTCACCTCAGAGGACTTTGCAAATGTGTCCATTCTCCAACGACAAATACAATAATAACATCTGAAATGTCCCCACAGTTGGATGAATAAAGTATCTTATCTTAACAATAACAAACACACTGGAGCCATTGGTCCAAAGAGAGGAACGACCACTGTCCATAAATATCAGTAAATGTCCAATAATTCCAACTCTCTGGAACTCTGACTCACCAAACTTTAAATCAGTTCAAAACCCATCTTTTCAAACAAGCTTTTCCCTAAACCCCCTTTTTTTGATTCAATGGAGGAGGTGGTGAAGCAAATAACGCTCTCCAAGATCAGGGTAATCTTGTCCAACCAGAGCCACCCACTAAATTCATTTTTTTGCCGGCAGAGAAGCACCATGAGCTCCAGACTAAAAGGACCGACTAAAAAACTCTTTTGTCCCGAGCGCATCAGACACCATTTCCTTTTGGATCAATAAAGTATATATCTATCTATCTTTTTATTTTATTGTATTTTATTAGGGACTGGTGCTTTGTGTGCTGGGTGCAGCTCTGACGGCCACCCCCCCGACCCAGAAATGGATTAAGGGGAAGAAAATGGATGGATGTATTTTTTTCCCCACGTGAAGCGTCTTTGAGTGTCCAAAAAATGGCTATACAAGTCTGAATTATTATTATTATTATTATTGTTATGATAAATGTCCTGTATCGTGGCCGTCCCCTGAACCTCTCTTCACGTGTTGTGTTTTTGGTGCAGGCAGTCGGGAGGCGGCCTTCACGTACGCCATCACGGCAGCAGGAGTGGCCCACGCCATCACCGCCGCCTGCAGCCAGGGCAAGCTCAACCAGTGCGGCTGCGACCGGGAGAAACAGGGCTACTACAACCAGGAGGAGGGCTGGAAGTGGGGGGGCTGCTCCGCCGACATCAAGTACGGCATCGAGTTCTCCCGCCGCTTCGTGGACGCCAGAGAGATCAGGAAGACCCCACGCCGCCTCATGAACCTGCACAACAACGAGGCCGGCAGAAAGGTGCAGATTCCTCCATGCTCCATCTACTTATCTATCTATCTATCTATCTATCTATCTATCTATCTATCTATCTATCTATCTATCTATCTATCTATCTATCTATCTATCTATCTATCTATCTATCTATCTATCTATCTACTTATCTATCTATCTATCTATATCTATCTATCTACTTATCTATCTATCTATCTACTTATCTATCTATCTATCTATCTACTTATCTATCTATATATCTATCTATCTATCTATCTATCTATCTATCTATCTATCTATCTATTTATCTATCTATCTATCTATCTATCT